ATTTGCTATTTCTCAGGATTATTGGGAGAAGGAGGAGAGGGACTCAGGATAAATCATGAGCCAAAATCAAAGGGAGCAGGGTGGAGTAAAGAGCATCTGTCTGAAAAAGAGAATGAAGTTAGGGTTTGGCAAAACCTAGTTACTCTCCTTGTCTTCTTAGAGGCTGGTTTAGTTTTCATTTACATTCACACTAAGGGAGTATATCCAGAAATGAATTGACTTGAAGGTTAAATAACTCCACCATGACCAGGCCAGTCATGAAAACATCGAAAAAATTATAAAATCAAAAGTTCTGAAGTTCAGTTCACGTTTTGAAAGCGGAGATCTTGGTTTGATGAGTAATACTTGATATCAATACCAGATTAGACTCACATTTGGGCTTGCTTCAGACCTGAGATCCCTTTAGATGTCTCTTTTCAAGGATTTGAGGAATGGACATATAAAGAAATCAGTTGGCTCAAAAGACTGCAAAGTCGTTTAAACTGTAGAGATCTTTGTTGTGTTTTTTGCTTTCTTGCATCAGTTCTTCTGTCAAATCTCTATTCAGGTAGGATTTCACTCCAAGCTCTTTTAACTTTTTAAATGGAATAACCTCACTTTTAGAAAGGTCTTAAGAAATTCATAATTCATACTAATGGTCAGGAAAAATAATGTCCAAGCTCTAGGACTTCACCGCCCAGTGGCTCAAGGCTGTGTCTACAAGAAATCAAACACCTAGATGTTTCCAGATTTTGGATGTTGGTCTGCCTGATGCCAAACATCTGGATAGTTGAGGATATCAGGATGTTTGGCATCAAGCAGACAAAACATCTGGATGGCTGCTTCAGTTTTTCACTTTTTAACTGGATGTTTGGTGTCATGTAGACACAAGCTGAGGCTCTGACTTCATCTTGTAACAGCCTCCAGGCTGCCAGGCTGGCTCCAGATTCCTTTTATTGCAACTGACATTTTTACAAGAAAACTTGCTTTCTGTGTGATGCCTGTTGCTCTTATGTGCAGAAACAGATTCATTACTCTGAAAAATATAGCACCAAATCGACCCCCAAAGGCCACATGCTTGAGCGAGGGTTTGAAGAAACTGGACAATTTCAGAATCATTACTGTCTTTGTGAGCAAAATCATGACACGACTTTAGCAAGGGGGAGGGGGGTGGCTGGAGAGAGAAGAAGGCCTCTGGAGTGGTAAAATTGCCAGATCCATCCTAACATTTGGCTCATTCTCATTTCAGCCAAGGAATATTGTTTCCATGCTGGTGAAGGTGGTACTTGCTATACTGCTGAGATGGTCAGACATTCCATAAGATACACCAGTGGTTTTACAGATGAAGAAGCAGGGAAGACAAGGTTAGAAAATACCATTTTCTCCAGATTTTCTGAGCTGATAAGGTTGAACAAATAAGATGCTCATCTTTACCTACGCTGAAAAAGAGTTTCATAATCGAAACGAGAGTTTATGCACTCAACTCTCTCCCTTGGAACAATTATGCTAATGATGAAAATAAATTATCAACAGCAATCGATTGACCACCTTGCATGCACCTAGCTGTCAGGAACGCCTGACTTCACACCCCTTCTCATCCATGCTCTTGCCAAGTGTACTTATTAGCTTCTCCAATGAGCTCATACCTGCCCACTTGCTGTGAATAGCTCTGCTCTAAGGCACAGGATCCCTGGCCTTAGAAAGTAGTTGGAACAGACTCAAGCTACATTCTTCCCTCTTATCCCTCCATGCCTGGCATACAAGCTCTCTTGCCTGGATCTTGCTCCTAGACACCTCACTTTCTGGCCTGTGTGTTTAGCTTGTGTTTGAGTTCCTCCTCATTCGTTAGTCTTATTTTTTTTTCTTTTTCTTAATCTTTGGCCTCCAATCTCCCCAGTCCTTGATGATGCCTACTAGCTATTAAAATGACAGGATTTTTATCCTCCTGCCTACCATAATTGGAGCTCTTGTTGAATAATGTTCTAGCACCAAGCTGACCTTTTAATATATTATCTTATTTAAACCTCACATGAGATAGGTATTTTAAACGCTATTTCACAGAGTAGAAACTGTGGTTTGGAACAGTATAACAACTTGCTCAGGCTCATGGGATAGAAACTAACAGGGGATGAACCAGAATTCAAACCTAGGATTGACTCCAAAGCCTAGACAGTAGCCACTGTCTGGTATTGTCCCACGGTGTCTTTCAGACTTGATCACCTGCGTGTCTGACCCATGGTACATCTTTGCCTTTAGCACTTTGACTTCTCTTTATTCAACTTTGATTCTATTCCCGACATCAATCTACTCTTTCATTTATTGAGTATATATCTTAAGTTTCCACTCTGTGGTAGGCACTGTGTTTTGTGCTAAGAATAAAATGATGGACAAGATAAGACCCAGACTCTGCTCTCATGGGCAGACTGGCTTAGTGCCTAGTGGGGAAAACAGACAACTAAAAAGGCAATTTTGGTGCAGTGTGATAAGCGCAATGACACGGGAACTATTTATAGCACCTGGTGACTAAATTCTCAGTTGTGAGCCTTTCTGACCTTCTCTGCTCCCTGCCTTCCTGTCCCCATATTCTCTCTTTTTCTCAGCTGTCATTGAATCCTTGAGTCCTCTACCAAGAGGCTTATTCTCACCCCAAACTGAGGCAGATGAAGGGATGAAAGGTCAGCAGCATCAGGCCACCACCTGGGGGAAACTTGGCTTTGAGTTCTGCCTCCCAGACCTGGAACTCGGTGGCTTAGTCATGACTGCTAAACTCCTAATGCCTCTCCAGCCTCCTTTGCAGCCTGGGAGGTGTAGGTCTGAGCTGTCTTGTCAGCACTTTTATTCAAGGTTCATGGAGTCTACAAAGGTCCAGCTAATAGTCCCTCCCCAGTTTTGGCTTATTATGGAACTGAGTATCTTTTAAGTATTTGCTAGGATTGGGGTCACATTATTCATCCCAGGGCAGGGCTTTGTTTTTCAGGCTTCTGCCACCTGGAAAAGATCCCATAACCTGTGGACCAAATGACTTCTGACTTGGACTGGTATTCAGAGTTCTTTTCTGCCATGTTTCAACCATTAGGTGGAGCCTTCTGATGCCACAGAGTCATCTGAATCTTGCTCTCATGTGAACTTGGTGCTTGTGAATTTCCATTGAGCTTAGGACCACTGAGCTGTTGGATCATTCACCATAGCCTGGTCAATTTGCCCTTGTTGAATACTGGCAATTTTCTTGGAAACACAGAGGCCCGAGAAAGATGTGTAAGTAAATGCCCAATAAATACTTGTTGAAGGAATTAAGATAAATAAAGTTAAAACAAGAATTGGTGCCAGCATCAAAGTAGCACAATCATTTGATAACCATTTGCTGATTTGAATTTGTTCAAATTGGATTGAACTACAATCTATCTGGGTAGACAAGATTTATAGATATGAAACAATTTTTTTTTTTTTCTGGAGAGGTTTTTGCTACAGGGCGTGTGTGCTTGCTAGAAAGACAGAGAGAGACAGAGAGATAGAAAGCGAGAAATCACCCCTCAGGGGCAATGGCCACGCCACAATCCCTTCTCCTCCATTCTCCTCTCGGGATCTTGGGCATGCACGCACACGCGCCTGGCATGAGTTTTAAGCCACCAGGCCTGGGACTTGAACTGTGGTCAGCTACGTGGGAGTTCAGCGACATAGCTAACTGTTGATCCTGATATGAAACAATTAAAGAGCAATACAAGACAGCATGCCTGTGTTTCCATTTGATATCAACTGCCTGGTGGATAAAGGAGACAGCACTAGGGAGCAAACTTGTCAGCAAAAACTTATAGAAGATGAAGGACTTGAAATAGACTTTGAGCTATTAATATGTTTTTTTTAAATGATTTTTTTCCAGATAATTCTGAGATGGACATATCATCCACATTTTGCAAAATTAAAAAACAAAAAGGTCAAAGAAGTTGAGAGATTAAGGGGTACTCAGAAATGAAATGATAATTTTGTTCAAATTTGACAAACATTGATTGTCTATACCATAAGCCATGCTTTATTGCCAAGAATTAGGTGTACAGAATGGACAAAGAAGACAGATTGTCCCTTGGGAGCACCATGTTGGTGTGTCTGGGCTATTAAAAAAAAACATAATAAAATAAAAGAAAGAACCAGCTCCATTGCCTGGAAGTTTAAAAGCCTGGATCCCCCGTGGCTGATGGTGAGGTTCAAGTCCTGGGCCTGGTGGACTGAGAAACATGCCAGGTGCTTGTGTGTCCATGCCCAAGACGAGGGAGAGATGTAGGAGGAGGGATTATGGTATGACCATTTCCCATTGGAGTACTTTTTTCCTGTCTATCTCCATCAAGTGTATGTACTCTCTAGTGGGGGAAAAAAAAGGAAAAAAGAAATAAAAGGCTAATGAAGTAAATTTTTAAAAATTGACTTCAGTGACAAGTGCAGTAGGAGCCTGATGAATATAACCTGTCTTTCTGGCCCTGGCAAGAATGGGAAGACAATGGTAAGGAAATAAGGTTGAATCTGGGCCTTAAAAAAGGACTTTCAGTTCACTCTACTGGAGTAAGAGACAAAGTGTTAGAAAAATAGCAGGGGAGATGCCCTTTCCTGGCAAACAATGTGTTATGTGTTGAGACTGGCCAGGAAGACTAACATCAGGCTATGGAGCTCCTTCGGCGTCTTTCAAGATGGCTGAAGAAAGACTACTGAGCCTTGTGCTGGCTTGTGCTTCTAGACCACGGCTTATTCAGGTTTTTTCTCTCCACTTTTCTTCCTTGCTCCTTAGCATCAAGAGTTGTGCTTTCTCTGCTTAGCTCTTCTCGCCTTGATTCATTTGGGTGTAAGGACCAGTTCTAGCACAGTCCCATCAGTTCTAGCTGCAGTCCTGTCAGCTCTCAAGGATGCCTGCAACCTCAGGCAACCTTGCTTCTTTCCCTTTAGATTCTACCTTTGTTTTCAGGGAAAAACTAAAAGAAGGGTGTCCCATGATGCTCTCAAGGGAGTCAGAATAATTGGCTTTGCACACTCTGTATAATGTCCAGAAAAGTTCAAAGCATTTTACTGCATGTAAGGGACAGAGCAGAGTATGGATCTCTCCAACATGATGTTTATTTCTGGCCCCTGGTTCCAGAAACATTTATTTTTAAAGATGGCAAAGGATCAAAGCCAAGTGTGTATTCTCACACATATTCTATAATAAGGATGCAATTGTGAATTTTGTTCTCCAGAATATTAGGCAATTGCATTTTCCATTTTTGTTTGGCAATGTTATTTTTTTTTATTTATTTATTTTTAGATTTTTGCTATAGGGTACATGCACTCGCCAGAAAGAGAGAGACAGAGAGGCCGAAAGTGAGAAATCACCTCTCTGGGGGATGTCCACACCTCAATCCCTTCTCCTCCATTCTCCTCTCAGGATCTTGGGCATGCACACATGCCTGGCGTGAGTTTAAGACACCAGGTCTAGAACTAGAACTGCAATCAAATACATGGGAGTCCAGCAACATAGCCATTACGCCAACTGCTGGTCCCTTGGCAATGGTTTTTTAAATTACTTCTCTTAGGGCCAAGCAGTGATGTGCTGGTTGGGGCAGTTGGATTCCACGTGGCTGACTGTGCTATCTGAGTCCTGGATCTAGTAGCTTGAAAAGCACACCAGGCGTGAATGTGTGCATGCCCAAAAAATCCCAAGAGGAGAATGGAAAATAAAGGGTGGTGCTGTGGCCATCACCCCTGGGAGGGTGATTTTTCACTTTTTCTCTTTCTCTTTCCACCCCTCTCTCTCCAGTGAGTACATGTGTTCCATAGCAAATTAAAAAAAAAAAAAAGAAAGAAAAAAGAGCAAGGAACCACTTAAAAAACCCAAAAGAGTAATTATTTCTTTTAGAAATCAGACTGACTGATAGAAAGCATCTAAGTTCACTAAGCTCTGGAGAGGATCATCCTTCCTTTTGACATCCTGATCGTGCACTCCGAGAATCCCAGGTGCTTGTTCCTACTCCAGTTGTGGGCTCTGGTTTGGAGATTTACACGGTCCATTAAACCATCTCTGTGTCCTGCTGAGCCCTCCACGCAAACATGAAACTGATGGAATTCCTTGCCAGGAAAAATAGAGCTTAAACTAAACTCAACACATCAGGGTCTCACCCCTCCACAGCATTTTAGAGGACTGGATAAGTTAGGGACCAGGTCAAGATTTCTGTTTAATTTTCTGCAGGACAGACTGTATGCTGTGCATACACAAAGCCTGCCATAGGGCCAAATTTGCCAAAGGGCATTTGTTCTTTACATTGTTTAAAAAGGATTACTTGTTTAATTTTATTTATCATTACTATTATTCTTAAATTTGCTACAGGGCATGCATGTTCATGAATGACAGAGAGAGAGAGAGAGAGAGAGAGAGAGAGAGAGAGAGAAAGCAAGTTGCCAGGTCTGGGACTCAAACTGTGGCTAGCCATGTGGTAGGCCAGCGCCTTAACCACCATGTCACCTGCTAGCTCTCTCTTTATGAATTTTTGTCAAATGACAGCAATGCTTTTTCCTTTTATATTCACTTTATGGATTTTAAAATTTTTTTCCTAAAACATTTATTTTTAATTTCACATCTTCTGAATTTCATATGGCACAGTCAGATTTTATTTGAGATTCTATTCTTGCATGGTCTCCTACACTGTGCTTCTCAAACTGAAGTGTGTATGAATCACTTTTGTTAGAGAGCGACTTCTAAATCAGGTTGGGGCGGACCTGACATTTTTAATGTGTTCAGGCAACGATGATGCTGCAGTCCAAGGATCGCTTAAGGGGTAGCATAATCATAGACATTGAGCCCCTTCCATTGGGCGAGGTGGTGAAGCTTTGGAGGGAAGATAACAGAAGTATACCTTATATTCTTCCTCTTTTTAAATTGCCAGAGGACGCATGTGAGAGGGGAGAGAGAGAGAGGTTGAGTAAGAGAGAGAGAAAGCACCCTTTGGTGGGGCCTGCTTATACTGTAGTCATTTTTCTCCATTTCTCCAGTCCATCAGGATTTTGGGCACGAATGCAACATGCCAAGGGGCTGGGATTAGAACCACAATTCGCCAAGTGGGATCTGGCTCCCCGTGCTCGGGACTTAACCACTGTACTACAGGGTCACTCCACCTCACAGTCTTATAACCAGTACACAGTTCCAATCAGTTAATAAGTAGAACCTCTTAACTCTTCATTGAGAATTATAGATGCCTGAAAGTTGCAGTTCTTTATGTAATTTTTATCCATAGACTGTTGGTATAAATAATCTCAAACTTTCCAAGAAATATAAAGTAGCCACCAATAACCTTAATTTCCCAAGACTTGTTATTTTTTTGGGTAAGCAAAACACGCAGTGATTTATTTCTAGAGGTAAATGCTTCCTGATCTTGTTCATTTCATGACTTGATAGAAGAACACAAAGTTGGTGCATCACCTGGAGGTGGCTGTGACTGACGGAAAGCAACTGGCCCAGGGGCTGCCTAATGGAAATGAAATCCTCAGCATGACAGTAATTCATACACGCAGCCTGCTGGCTGTCACACCCTGTTTCCTTTTTTTTGGCTATAATTCTCCAGCTCTAGAAATTCATCTTTAAGAACCCAGCAGATGGCTTAATGGTTACGTCGCTGGACTCTCATGTAGTCAGTCAACTGTGGTTTGAGTACTGGACCTGGCAGATTAAAACTCACTGGGTGCATGTGAGTGTGTGCCCAAAATCCTGAGGAGAGAATGGAACAGAAGGGGTTGTGACATGTGTAGTGATTTCTCGCTTTCTGTCTCTCTGTCTCTATCTGCCAAACACACACACCCTATAGCAAAAATCTCTCTAAAAAAATAAAAAGAAATTTTTAAAGTATGAATGCCATGGGAAGACTTAACATCACAGCATCTGCCTATTTCAGTATTGATCACACTTGCCCCAAACATTTCTCCTTCCCCAGAAAATATTGTGAATCTACACAAAGATCAAGTATTAAAAAGTAAACTAGTAAGAAATATGAATAGGCATCTATCTTTGCATAAAATATTTCCTCAGTGAGTTGAAAGACAGTGATTTTTGAAAGAAATCTTTTGAAATGTTCCTCTGATAAGGAATTAGCACCCAAGCTCATGTATATGAGCATTGCATTTGTTTGCTTCCTTTAGACCAGTGGCCAGCAGGCATTTTCTTTCTTTCTTTCTTTTCTTTTCTTTCTTTCTTTCTTTCTTTCTTTCTTTCTTTCTTTCTTTCTTTCTTTCTTTCTTTCTTTCTTTCTTTCTTCTTTCTTTCTTTTTTAGAGAGGTTTTTGCTATGGGGAATGTGCACTTGCCAGAAAGACAGAGAGAGACAGAGAGACAGAAAGTGAGAAATCATCCCTGGGGGTATGACCATGCCGCAATCCCTTCTCCTCCATTCTCCTCTTGGGATCCTGGGCACACATGCACGCCTGCCCAGCGTGAGTTTAAGCCACCGGGTCTGGGACTCGAACCACGGTTGACTATATGGGAGTCCAGTGACATAGCCGTTACGCCAACTGCTGGTCCCCAGCAGACATTTTCTTAAAGGGCTAGAGAGTGAATACGTGTGTGTGTGTGTGTGTGTGTGTGTGTGTGTGTATGTATATAATTTTTTGGAGAGGTTTTTGCTATAGGGTGCATACACTCACCAGAGAAACAGAGAGACAAAAAGAGAAAAAATGAGAAATCACCCCGAAGGGGGAATGGACACTCTGCAATCCCTTTTCCTCCATCCTCCTCCTGGAATCTTGGGCATGCACACATACGCAACTGACCTGAGTTTCAAGCCACTGGGTTCAGGACTCCAACTGTGGTTGACCATGTAGGAGTACAATTCCTTAACTACTATGCCACCTGCTGTCTCTGATAGTGAATTTTCTAAACCTTGTGGTCCATTCAGTCTCTGAGGCAAGTATTAACTATTGCAGCATCTATGGATAATACATAAACAGATGGGCATAAATGTGGACCAACAAAACTTTACTTACAAAAACAGGTGGTGGACTGCACTTGGTCTATAGGCTATAGTCTATGATTCCTATTGTGGAAAAACTCTTGTAATTACTTTTAAATAAAAGTTGAGTGTGGAAAAGAACCGAGTATATCTGCTTCAAGGCAAAGTGGACAATCAATGAGGTATGAAGACGAAGCCTTCCCTTGTACTAGATTCTGAGCACAAACCACCCCCCAGGGCCTCTAGAAAGTCCTGGAGGATGGCCCAGAAGCAGGACATAAATGGGAAAATTGAGACTTAGTTAAGGAAATATTCTATAAAATTGTCCTTGTACGTCAATCTGGCTGATAGATTTGAAATTCTACTTTTCTGAATAAGATTTCTTCCCCGCGGTTTTTCACTAGCCCTTTGCCATAGCAGTGGTCATGTATGTGATGACCCTGAGAACTAGTAGACTGAAAAAATCCTGCACAGTTGGTATAGGTTGTATTTTTGTGTTTTTATTAAAATTCTTCTTAGACCACGTACCTATTTATCTTGGTCTTTGAGCCTATGACACCATGCTAATTTGGATGTCTGTGGTATATGAAGTGGAACCATCTAGCAGTTTAAATAGTCTGTTCTGAGTTTCTTTAAAAAGGCCAGACCTAGACTCTAAATATTATGATCTCAAAATATAACTGATAGATAAATGAACTTGTTAGAATTGTAAAACATATGTCCATTAATTGTACATATTAAACATGTACATATTTAGAAATCAAAATTTTCTTCCTGTGTGGCCCCACCTACACTAACTATTAAACTATATTTTAAATGTAAATTAAAGGTATCCAAATACAAGTGCTTTTATGTTAATTGCACAAGTTACAATTTACTTCACTCAATTTTGCTTCCATTTTTGTTTTGTTTTTACAGGAAGTGGAATCCCTGTCACCAGATAGAACCGTAGGTAAGACCAGAATTTCTTGTTTGTAATAAGTGTGTTGTTCACATTATGCCTTTTAACATTTATTCTAAATCAACCCTTTAATCTAGGAGTCTTTGATCCTAGTTCCTTTCTAGAGTCTTCAGTACCAGAGCATCCCCTAAGTTATTCTTGTGTAAATCGATATCATAGATTTTAGAAGGCAGTAAATGAACAATGCCACATCCAGTATTTACAACAACAGAGATTATTAACTTAATTACCGTATCCTTTTGAAATATCTGAAGAAGAATTATGACCTCTGGGACACCAGCAACAATCACCTAATCTATTTCTTCAGTTTTAGCAGCAACGTCTCCAGCAGGCATCCCTACGTGGCCTGGCTTATTGTAACCACAACCGTGGTGTTTGCAAGTGTTCTGTCTGAATGAACTTCTAAAGGCAGGCTGCTGATTTCAGAAACTTTGTATTTCCTTACCAAGTAAAATTTCAAAATCAAATTAAGGATCACTGTCGATATGCCAAATTTAACTTTGTCAAGTGAGGACAATAAACAAAAATCTTTTATCTATCATATCCATAACCTCAAAAAAGGCAGGACATGAACACCAGAACTGTAAGTAGGAAATAATCTCAAACTAAAGAACAGAAAATTATGAAAAAACACCCCACACTGTCTTTTTGTTTTCAATTTAAATATTGATTGAGCTGCAAACATATAAATGATAGAGAAGATAGAAAGAATTAGGAAATCTCGAAATCTTAAAATCAGAAGAGTCATTTGCTGCATGTAGTTAAAATCATTTGAAACAATTCCTTTATCATAAGAGAAGTTGAAAGAGTGAATGATTTAAAGATTTAAAGGCTTCAAGCACTGTAATTCTATGGGATATGTTCCTTCCATAACATCATCCCTAGAACAATATCCCTGGAATTACACTGTCTGGAAATTTATCTCAGTATTTTCTAAGCATTTTAGGTGTGCAAATGAAAGTCACAGAGCTTTTAACTGGTAGTTATAACCACCATATACGTAAACTAAAGGGTGGCCATTCTTCTATATAAAGCAGTATTTCCTACTTGATCTATTTTTAAACCATTTTAGATGGAAATTTATCATACCCCATAGAACAAAAAGTCTGCAGGAGATGTTTTCAGCTCCTTTCCTATCCAATTTTCATTTCCTGTCCATTGGCCTCAAGGGTATAAGCTGAGCAAAATTTCAAAAGCTCTTGGAAAAACAGAATCTCTCTGTGTGTTTTATGTGTGTGCATGCATGTGTGTGAAAATGTGTGTGTGTGTGTGTGTGTGTGTGTGTGTGTGTGTCTGTGTCTGGTGGTGGGGATGTGGAAGGCAAGTAAAATCAAAACAGATTTTAAAAAGTTTCTTTTGTGGTAATTTGCCTGTCTCATGCAAGGACTCTCACACACACATGCTCTGGCTTTGTGAATTCGCTGTGCTAGGCAGCGCCTGATTGATGATGTGCTATGATGAGGGACTCCAGTGGAAGTGTCCACTGAAGAAACATAAACAGTTTGGGAGACACCAAAGCTATCTTAGCATCTGGGTTATCAATAACTAAGCTACTATAAATATCAACACTTAATCCATTACACAGTAAAAGATACTAACTGGGTCTCCAACTGGGTAGAATCCAATGATTCAACCAATTCCTTTGGGAGATGGAGGGTCAGGCTGAGAGAGTGGAGCTGCAGAGAGAAGTGGGAGGAGCAGCCATGCCTAGGGCCTGGAGACAGC